GAGGTTAAAAGGGCGACAAAATGGAGTCAGTTTTGATAGGGTGCGACAACAAGTAAATACTGTGAAAAGGCCTGGCTTTGCGGCCGACAAGACGGCTCGGTGGACTAAAGCGAGCTCGAGCTGAGGCGGTGGCCGGACCGCGGCCGCATGCTGGGCCAACCCCGCGGGGCAGGCTGAGCGGGCCAGGGCTGGCGCGCACCTGCAGTCCCAGCGCCGGCAGGCAGAGAGGAGGATGACTATGGGTCCGAGCTGCGTAGGGAGAGCCTGCCGCAGCCAAATGCAGGAGAAAGCAAGCATGGCTTTCTGTCTCACTGGACCTTTTATCTTAAAGCAGGATATTTTGTATTTATTTGTTTTATAATCCTCAGATTCAGGATTTTAAATAGTGACAGAGTATGTTTGGTAGTACCGCAAAGGTGTGTCGCGGCCTGCTAGCCCGGCGCTGACTGACTCTGCAGCCCCCTTCCTTCCTAGGATGGGGTCCATAGAGCAGATGGAGTCGGATTTTAAGAACTGCCACATGTTTCTTGTGACCATCTTGAACAAAGCCGTGTGCAGAGGATCCTTCCCCCACTGTGAGTACGTCAGGTTGAGTGTCCTGCGGCGTGTCTCCTGCCAGCAAGGGCTGTGTGTCCTGTCCTGCTGGCCACGTGAGGAGCAGTGCAGGCTTCCCACCGTTCCCCGCGGAAAAGCCTCAGCACTTGGGCAGCCTGCTTTGCCAGGGTTACAGGGAGGGGATGGTCGCACGGCAGACGCGGTGGCACTGAAGTCTCGCTCTCGAGGGGCCATCGGCTACACCCGTGGCCTCCTGGTCCTGCAAGATGAGCTGGCAGAGCAGTCTGGCCTCTCCCTCGCCACGCCTCGGAAGTGCTCCCGCCCAAAAGACAGGATTCCCTCGGTTCAGCAGCTCCAAAGCCCCGAGCCCGCGCCTGACTGCAGTGAGCAGAGAGCTCGCAGACGCGTTCTGAGAAGGCGCTGCCGGTCTGCGCTCCACGGAGCGCCTGGGCCTGAACGCTCGCTGTGCTGTGCGCAGGTTTAGGGCTCTGCGTTCTTAGTGGGTACGACGCCCCGAGGCGCCTGGCGGCTCTCGCGCTGGACGCGAGCCACGAGTGCTGGGTCCGGAGTTTATGATCCGGAGTGGGACAGGCGTGCCTCCGCAAAATAGCCGAGTGGCTTCAGAATCGGAACAATCTGAGGGGCCGAGGAGATAGCTCAGTGGAATAGGTGCTGGACTCCGGGCAAGCGCTGAGTCCTGAGTTCAAACCCTGCTTCCGCAAAAAACCCAAACAACAGACCTATCTGAAAATGAAATGACTCATACTGGCATTTTCAGTTTATATTTCTCAGAGTAGACAGTCATGTTTATTACACATTTCAGACACCTGCATGCCTGCAATCCCAGCTCTTGGGAGGCCGATGCAGGAGGTTGCAGTGCATTCAAGACCAGCCTGGGCTCCAGAGTGAGTTGAAGGCCAGCCTGAACTGCACAGCAAGCCCTTGTCTCCAAACAAACTACATAATACTTTGCAGTTTTGAATATTACAGCCATGTGCATACATTTTAGTACGATTCAACCTATTTTTTTTTTTTTAACTTTTTTCTCACAGTGGAATCTCTGGCACTGTCACTCATGGCTGGCATGGAGCAGAATTAAGTATCTGCAGTGTGACATCCTGAGGTTTCATCCTCACGCATGAGCACTCCTCGCATACGTAGCTGAAGCGGAATAGCAGCCGGGCATTGGGGACACACCTGCATCTCAGCACTCAAGAGGCTGAGGCAGGAGGATCGCCCAAGCTTGAGGCCCGTCTGGGCTACACGGTGAGACCCTGTTTAAAAAAGATGTAAAGGCCAGGAAGATAGCTCAGGGC